ACACACACACACACACACACACACACAGAGGGAGAGAGAGAGAGAGAGAGAGGCGGTCGCCCCTCATGCATTTATTCACTTGTGTGTGTGTCTATGGCGTGTGTTTGTCAGAGGGCGACATCGATCGTATTGTCCGTCGTGCTGAGGAGCTGCTGGAGGAGAGGCGCAGACAAGAAGCAGAGGAGGCCGCCGCCAAGCAGGCCGCAGCAGAGAGGCAGGAGAAGGAAGCCGCTCTTGACGGGACTGGCGAGCGGGGCGGCCAGGATCCGGCAGTAGCGGGAGAGGGACATGCGGCTGTGGGAGAGGATGAGGGTAGCGGGGCATCTGATTCATCGCAGACGGGGGGCGACAGCCGCCCTGCCGACGGCAAACACAGCCAGGACTGCAAAGTGCAGTGATGGGTTGAAGTGGCGGTCTGTTCTGCATGTGTCGTTGGATGCATCGAATCGGATGGACATCCGCTGATATCCTCAATTGAATGATGTGATGACTAGGGTTTAGATGAGCACATCACCAGCCGCCCCTGTGGCCCCCTGCAATGGGAAAAAGCCTCCAAAGCGAAAGTATTAGGGTTTGCGAGCTTAGAGGTGGAGGGGGGTCAAAGGGCTCAGCAGCTTTCGGATCAGCTTTCGCCGCTTCTAGATTCAAGATGAGCCACAGCGGCCTTGCCTGTCCCGAGAAGGTCGTGCTATCGCCAGACGCAGAAGAAAAGCCGTTCTTCGTGGCCGCCAAGGGCCTCGCCACCGCCGTACTCAGCGGCAATGTGTCTGCTGATCAGCTCACCAGCTTCGCCGGACGGCTGCTGGGCGACAGGCATGCGCTCGAGCGGCTGCTGTCTGCCCTCCTGGACGACACCACTGCAGAGACCAACCGGGTCATTGCCGCTGACTTGTTCTGTGCACTCCAGGTTAACGGAACGGTTCGGCTTGCCCTTCTACGCGTGCCGCCGACTCAGCTGGCACAAGTGGCGGCTTTTGTGATCGGCGCCGTCACGTGGACTGAGGTGCGTCTGGACGGCAAGGTCTACCAGAGCGTCTTCGGCAGGAAGGTCGCTCGTTGTGCGTTGGACGTGATCACCTGCACGAGGCTGGCGCTGCTGGTGGAAGTCTTCTACGCGGCGAAGGAGGTGCTGCCATCAAAGCAGTACGCCGAGATTCGTGACGACTTCTTCATGAGCCATCGGACGACCGTTAAGCAGTGTCTGCACCTGATGCCGCTGCGGACGACGGCAGCGGCCGTGAATGTGTCCAGTTGGGCGTATGCGCTGGTGCGTGAGCTGGGGGCGAGGGTGGCCCACCAGTTTGTGGCGGGAGGAGAGATTCCCATGGCTGTGGACCTCCTGCTGCCCCTGCTGTCGATGATGGTCCAGTGCCTCTTCGCCGCGGGGCCGCTGCGGTCGGCAGATGACCTGTACTGGGCGAACGTGCTGAGCCTCATAGACCTCTACCATCAGGTGGAATGGCTGCCACGCGACGAAGGTACGCCAAGGACACACACACACGCACACACCCACCCACCCACATTCTCTTTGTGTCTGCCTGTTTGTCTGCCTCCCTCCCGTAGTGCTGGAAGAGAGCGAGTTGCGGGAGCTGATCGGAGAGCATTGCTACGCTCATGTGGAGTGCCTCGTGCGCATCGTGGTGACATCAGACGGACAGCTCCTCGCGGCTGCATGTGCTGCGCTGGGCACCACACTCGCGAGGGCCCTCCTCCTCTGCCGCCACCAACTCGGTATGCAATGCGCCCACCCAGAAAGAGAAAGAGAGGGCAGATGCTGGCCGAGTCAGTGCCTGCATCGGATCACTGGGCCTGGCTCCTGTGTGGTTGGTTGTTTGTGTGTCATGTCAGGCGGTGGGGATGAGCGAACCATTCCTGTGTCCGAGCTGTGCAGGGTGGCCCCCTTCCCTCTCGCACCATGCCGGCCGCTGTTCAAGGAAAAACTCATGAGCAGGGTGCTCGCAGCTGCGCAGGCAGCACCAAGCGACCTCCAGGCGCATGCTATCGCTGCAGCGATCCTCATTCCAGCCATGGCTGCCATTGGTGCGCCCACGGAAGGGTTCCTGGTGCAGGCATACGTATGCATTGGGTTGTTTGTTTGTGTCTGCTGGTCTGTCTGTCCGTGTGGCAGAGTCGAATCAATTGTCTGTTCTCAAGAAGGCTGGCTTCCTTCCGGTGCTGTTTGGGATGGTGGGGCAATTGTCGGTGTCTGTGGACGACGTCGTCATGCACCTGGATCTGCATTGCCTGGATATGATCGTCCAAAGAGACAGATCGGTGAGCACAGCGCAGCACAGCACAGCACAGCACACTCACCACATTCGCAGAAAGCGACAAAGGTTCCGTCTTTCTGTCTGTCTTTCTTTCTTTCTTTGTCCGCCAGTTCTTGGGCACGGAGGCCCTGGCGCAAGCCTTGTCCGAATCGATGCTGATCTGCACATCGGCAATGGCCATTTCCCAGACCGCTGGCATGATGCACGGTCAGTTCGACAGGCGGCCCGTCCTCGTTGCCTGGCTCAGCAGAATCATCACGTAGGCAATGCGATGGCCGTCTAGTGGCCAGCGTCGTGTGTGTATGCGTTGATGTGTGTGTGTGTGTGTGTGTCCAGGTATGGAGACGAGTTGGTCGCTGAGGGCAAGGTGCCGAGCAACCCTTTTCCTCAGCAGATCGTCCAGGTAGGTGTGTATACGTGTATCTCGCACACGCCACGTCGGTACCCAGCCTGCTTGTGGCTTTGTTCGACCAGTACGGCGCCAAGTTAATTGGGCCGTCAGCGCTCTCCACCCCGCCAAATGAGGTAGGTACAAGGAAATACGCGCACTGAATGAGTAATGATACACTGCACGCTTCTTTTTCCTGAAGGTGTCGTCGTTCTTCCAGTCGATGACCGCTCCAGCCAAGGGCAAGAAGGGCCAGAAAGCGAAGAAGGAGAAGAACAAGAAGGCCCCCGCACCCGCGGCTTTCGCAGCAGCCCCCCAGGCTGCTGCCCCCCAGGCTGCTGCTGACCACCCTGCCGCTCCGTCGACCAGCTCCCACCCCACCCCTGAGAGCATCGAGCAATTTGAGGACGGGCTGCTCTCGGATGACGTGGAGGTCTACATCCGATCAGCCAGGGGCATCAGCCAGGTCCAGATGCCCGTGCTCAAAGGGCTCGCCCAGCGGTTCGTCAACGACGTCGATGCCTTCCGCCGCATCCTGACGCACCTGGTGGATGGCAGCAGCGTCGAGTGTCGGGTTGCGACGGCTGACGTCCTCTATCGTCTGCTCCGCAACCGCTTGCTCACACTCGTCGGCCCGTTGGCACCGACGTTCGTGTCGGCCATCTTCGACACTCTGACGTGGAGCCAACCGAGCGAGGGAGACGACATCGAGCTCACCGACAAAACAGCCGCTCAGACAGTCCTCATTTCCGACTCTTGCAAGCCGCTGGGCATTCCTCCTCCACCCCGCATCGACGTCGTGACACTTGCACGGCTGTACGCCATCAGGGCGGCCCTTGCTGCCCTCCCTGCCATGGGAGACTACCCGGCCGCTGCCAGGCTTCGCGACGACTTCCTGAGGCGGCATGAGGCCACTATCCGGCAGGCCATGAGCGTCCTCCTGCGACCCCGGCATGTGGTCTTGGCAGGCGAGGCTCGCAACGTGCTCATCCTCTTGTACTCGCCCAGTCTTCCCAGCCACCCATGGTCACTGGCGCTTCCATTCTTCACCATGTTTGTCGAGACCATGGGGCTGTCGACGGCCAGCGTGGCGCCGACAACATGATCCATCTGCTGCCGACTATTACTGTGTCCTTCGACCGGAGACGCCTAACAGGTGAACTCACACAGAGGGAGGAGAAGGGCATCCTGTGTTCGTTGGCGTCTCTCTATGTGCCTGGTGTCGTGCCTGTGTGCAGCCGTGGAGGACTGGCAAGTGACCAAAGCGGCGTTGGGCTCTCACGTGTACGCCCACTTCAACAGACTGGCCCAGCTCGTCGTGTCGGCCGAGGATGGCTCCTTTGAGCTCAGAGCCGCATCCCTCGTCCTAGGCGCCCTCATGTGCACTGCCTACTGGCTCTGCGCGACCTCTCTGCTGGCGAAGCGGCAGGCGACGGATGCCCACAATGAAGACCCGGTCGTCAAGCTGGCGGAGGAAGTGGGATTGCTCAAAGTGCTCGCACCGGCCCCCCTCCCCTTCCGTCTGCTTGAGCCGATCGTCATGGATGCCTCGTGCGCGGCAAGGTGGTCAAGATGATCCGCCAAGGTGATACCATGTCGACCTACCTGGGCAATACCATCGTCACACCAGCAATCGCTCTCGCAGGTACGCCGTCGCGTGATCCGCTCTTCATAGACGAATCGTTGTGTGTGTGTGTGTGTGTGTGTGTGACACAGAGGAGGGGAGGGGGCAGGAGTTGATCGGTTCCGGCTTTGTGTCTACCTTGGTGGACATGCTGGACTGCCAGGCGCTCAGGGTCGGTTTGGCCCTCTGTGTGACCTGCCTCAAACTCCTGATCCAGACCGATCGAAAAGTCAGTCAGCAGGCAGCGTGTGCAGTGAGATTCGACACTTGCAAGTGTCTTGGTTGGTTCAGGTTTTGTCGACCGCAGGGCTGTCCAAGGCTCTCTGCGATGCGGTGCTCGCTCGAGCGCGGGGACAGCTGACCAGTACTGACATCAATTTGGACTCGGTCGTGGCCGTTCTCCAGACGATGGTCAAGTAAGCACCGTTACGCATCCGTGAACATACACACATGGATGCGGTGCGCGAGATGGATGGATGGATGTGCGTGTGCAGCTACGGGAGGACTCTGGTTGCCCAGGGGGAGCACACCCGCAATCCGTTCATCCGAGAGATACTCAAGGTCAGAAAACGAGACACGCTTGCCCGCATCTATCCATCTTTTCACGTGTACGCCACGCCGCTTTCATTCAGCTCGACTCTGTCAAGGAGATGCGCAGCCCTGATGCCACCCATCTCAGCAAACCACCACAGGCAGGCTGACGCGAAAGCACCTCCTTCCACCCCCCCCTCACACTCTTGACCTCGATCTTTCTTTCAGTTCCTGCGTTTCTTGGAATCGATCGCCCAGCAGGGCGCCAAGGAGAAGACGCAGAGCATGGCCAAGCAGTCTTCTCGCAAGCCCGAGGCCCAGCTAGCGGCAGAGGCCGTTGAGGCGGAACGCAACGCCGACAAGCTCATCCAGGAGGACGCCAGAGAGAAGGCGCGGATGGCCAAGAAGGAAATGAAGGCCCACAAGGGCAAGGGGCAGCACAGCCAGTCTGCCACAGCGGCCGCCGAGGCGGGCTCTGATCTGCAAGACGACCATGGTGACGAGCATCCCCTGAGCACTGATCACGAGAGCGAGGTAGAGGACCCCGACGCCATGCTTCTCAACTCGGCCTTTGGCCTCCACGCACGGCAGAGCGGCCACAGCAACAAGAAGACATCCAAACAAGGCAACCAGGACGTCGTGACGTCTGCGTCGACCTTGGGCAGAGGGCGAGCGGCAGCTGGGGATTAGCGACAGCACCAGCGGTTCGGAAAGAAGGAAAACGTTCCTCCTGCCGCCCCGATCTCGAAAGCTGCAAAGCGCCGTGGCGGTGGAGTCCCGCCCGTCCTGATGGGCCCACCGTTGCTCAACGGCGGCACGGGGATGGCCACGCAGCCTCCAGCAGTCCCCCATTGTCCCCTGCCTCCCCTGCCCCATCGCAGCGATCCATTGTAGGCATGCAGAGGGACATTCGTTGACGAGAGAGAGGGAATTCATCTGGGTGTGTGCCTTGTTTTGGTATTGCTTCAGGTTTGGAGCCGCTGGTGCAAAGGATTGTGGTCACTGGTTCGTTCTCCCGCCACGACCATCCCACCCCCCTCCCCCTGCCGCCACGCAACAGCATCAGCAGCAGCAGCACATCGTCAGTGAGGGACAGCCTCAAGACTCATCGGACGGTGCCATCGACCCGGCACGTCCCGTGCAAGCACCCCGTTCTCGGCTCCTGCCCCTCCGCCGACCACCAACAAGCCGACTGCAGCAAATGCTACGGCCAGCACGGGCAGGCATCCATCATGTTTGTGCCGTGCCGACATATGTGCACCTGCAGCCACTGCTATGGCGAGTGGCGGGCAACTTCAGCCAGGGGACACCACTCTCTCCCACCTGGGGACCGTCCACTCGGATGCCGCCCCTGAGTCGTACCTGGATTGCCGCGAGGACGATTTCGAGGACTGCGAAGAGCCGCCGCACACGTGGCACCCGGAGCAGTGACAGAAAGGCGTGGGTGGCGTTGTTGGCGCTGCTTTTTGGGAGTTCGGCATCTGCAATAACAGGTTCTGGTTCACATGATCTATGTACACACATCTCTGTAGCGAGAACCTACGTGTGAGACGGTCACTAGGTCGTTTACATCTATGGCAGTGCTCTCTGTTGCCATCTGTTTGTCCGCCGGTGCCAGTGTAGGGAGGGAGAGACAGGCCGGCCGTATGCATGCTCTTATGCATGTACATGCTGTTAGTTTAGTGCGTGCTGCGACGACAGGATCCCATCGGGGTTACAGACACGAGTCTCGTTAAACACAATAGCCAACCAACATCTATATGTCTACTCGATGGCACAGCTCGACCACCGTCGAGAGTGCAGACTTGGCGGCAGCCCTGTCTTCTGATGGCAATGAATCAAACAAGGCAATGCAGAGCTTGTTGAAGATGGCCACAGTGAGGTTCGAACTCACGCCCTCGCGGACCACGGCCTAAACGTGGCGCCTTAGACCTCTCGGCCATGTGACCTTGCCCTGGTTGTGCGGACACGACAAAATACAGTGACAGTATGAGGGGATTTCCCCTCAGAGTTGTTGGCAGCGCGTGCAAGCAAGAAGCCGCAGCCCCTCGCTGACCTTCTCTACGGACACCAGGCTGAGCTTTCCCTCCGGCTGTGTGTGGCGCCATGTTGTCTGTCGATGACCCTTCATCCCCACCATCATTATGGTCTGAGCTGAGGGCCCTGGGCAAACCGCCCACTCGACGCAGGTGAGAAAAGGAACCCCTCTGAGTCACACAATCGCCACACATTCATGACACACACAGTCTCCTCTGCTTGTTTGGCTCTCAGCCACCATACCATGGTGCTTTCGAGCGAGAAGGCCTTCGTATATGGCGGCAGGGACGCGCGAGACCAGCTGCTGGGCGATGTGGTACGAGAAACGCACTGCAGATGAAACGAAGGATTGTTCGTGGGGCCCCGGTGTTGTCTGTCCGCAGCACGTGTTGGTGCTTGGGGAGGCGGGTTTCGAAAGATGGGAGAAGCTCAGCACCACAAACACACCCGACCCAAGGTGAGGAGCGCCTTCCCTCCCCCACTCATGTCGCATCTCGCGCGCGCGCGCGTCTGTCTTCCATGTGTGTAGATGCCGCCACACGGCGGTGCTTCATGGCGACTCGATGCACGTCTTCGGCGGCATCAAGGCCTCCGGTGAGACCAACGAGAGCGTCTCTTTGGAGCTGAATGACCTCAAGTGGCGTGTGGTTGAGCCCCCCGAGCTGGGCCGCGACAGGCGGCCGGCCACTGTGCCGAGCGCCAGGGACAGCCACACTGCGGTGGTGATTGAGGGGCAGATGATGGTGTTTGGTGGGTACAAGAAGGGCGGCGACGTTGTGGCCGAGCTGTGGCAGTTCGACCTCATCGGCGACAGATGGACACAGATCACTCCAGGTGAATGAATGGTCCTTGAATGGTCGTGTCGAGAAAAGCGGAGGGAGTCTTGGCACTGTGCTGTCCTGTTCGTTCTCAGTCGCCTCCCCTGGTCGAAGAGTGCCTCGCTGGCCGCCTGCGCGTCACAGCCATGCTGCCGTGGGCGTGGGGTGCCGCATGTTCGTGTTCGGGGGATCGACGACAAGAAACCACAAGCTCAACGACATCTGGTCATTCAACACGGAGACACACACGTAAGCAAGAGCAAGGCCATGCAGGAAGACAACAACATCATGGGCTGGGACATCAGGTGGGCGGAGATCGAGACGTCAGGGGAGAAGCCCTCGCCTCGAGCTGGTGAGGTGAGCCCAAACGAGACACCCCTGGGGAAGCGGAGAGGATGCACAGTCTGCTCTCTGTCTGATGGTGTGTGGATTAGATTTGTGTGGCGTGATGCATGGGCAGCTGCTGATCATTGTTGGCGGCACTGACATGGACAACGAGGACAGCACCGACATTTACACTCTCGGCCTTCAGACGCAGGAGTGGCGGTGCAAGCAGAGATCGAGACCCGCCAAGGACCAGAAAAGCTCTACTGGTGCCAGCGGTAAGCAGGCAGGCATAAACCGTCTCCCTCCTGAATTGTGTCGCATCTTTCGAATCTCCTCTTTGGTGTGTCTGTCAGATGCCCCTCTGAAGGCGTCAGCCTCTCGTGTGACGGCCGACGGGCATCGCATCAAGGTCTCCTCACACAGGATTAGCGCACACAAGCTGGCAGCCACGAGGCAGAGCACCGGGACCATGATCGGCCTGGACGACACCCAGAGGTCTGTGGGCGGCGCAGGCGGCCTGTCGCCTCCCGACATCGACGGGCTACTGTTCAAGGCCCTCAAGTCACTCGCCCCGGCACCATTCCTCAGAGCAAGAGCACCAGACTGTGTACGCAAGCCCCCCCCCCACACCCACACACACCCACACAAAAGCGCGATCCCATCACCTCTTGTGTGTGCATGGCGTGGAAGCAGGTGAGGGAGGTGGATCAGCCGCACCCTGAGGGCCAGGGCGTCGGTGACTTTGTGCGTCGGATGGCGTCACGCTTCGGCCGACAGGGTGGGTCGGGGGCGAGGGACTCCAAGAGAGGCAACGAGGCGAGGCTGCTCGACGCTGCCGGCAACCTCAGACGCAAGACCGCCACCAAACATGGTACGCGCTCACAGGCGAGCCTAGATGGATGGATGGATGGGTGTGTTGTCATGCAGAGGGTCGTGTGCCTTGTCCGCGGTCTGGGCACACGATGGTGCTGCACGGTGAGTGCGAAATACTTGACCGATCGAACGTGCTGCATCGATTCTATGCATTGTGTGTGTGTGTGTGTGTGTGTGCTTATCGGCTGCAGAGGGTGCTTTGTACATTTTCGGGGGCGACAGGCACCGGACCAAGCTGAATGACACCTTCATCCTGAGACTCTGAGTAGTGTCTGCATGCCTGTCTGTCTGTCTTTGTGTGCATGATGGGAGGATGCCTGGGAACGGACAAACGACGGCTCATTGGTTGATCAGTCGCTGTGTGTCCGCCGTCCATTTTCATATGCCATGAAGGAGAACGAGCCGATCGGTTGACCTTCTCACTCAAAGCTTTTTTCTGCAGCAGCGGCATGTGTTGAGCATCTCCCTCATGAGCTCGTCCTTGTTGTTCCTGCGCCTCGCTGCGTCCTCCTGGCCTTCCTTGTCACACCTGAAGTGCATTTTCTCTTTCTCGCCCTGGACCCTGATTGGGTTCGTGCTGTAGCACGTGGTGCCCTCGGGACACTCCAGTCCGGATGGGCACTCGGCTGTATTCGCACACCTCGGAGCACAGAGACGGATGTGGCTGTCTCTCATCACTCACCTTCAGTGCACTTCAGTGACGACACCGCCGCTAGGAGAGGCGGCTCTTCCTCGGACAGAACGATCTCTGCACACAGATGCACGTCTCGGCGTGATCGCTTGGTAATCAAATATGCATGTGAGTGCGATTGCTCGGGCGGAGAAGCGTTGGGCCCCGTCTGATTGGTGAGGGGATGAAGGCCACGACAGCTGGGATGGTGGGCATCCCGCGGCAGCCTGGCAAGGCATCCATCGGCGCCGCACACAGCCAAGACGGAAACAACCACCAGATTCTGAATGGACGGCATTCTGATGAGATGGAGGGATGATTGGATAGATCCTCTAGACAGGTCTTCTGTCTGCAGTCTTCCTGGGGGCACCTGGGGCGTCTCGCATGCGTTTACATTTGGTTTACATACCGTACGCAGCGTTCCAGGCTCCCAAGATGGCTCGTGTCTTCGTCCCTCTCTTGCTGGCCTTCAATGGAGTGCTCTGCCAGGCACAGCTGGCCACGGTGGACCTCGACAGCCAAGAGCTCGAGGACACCATTCAACGACTGCGAGACGACTTCATGGGGCTTGCGAAGGGGCAGCACAGCGGTGCCAGGCCCTCTGCCAACGCCAGCCTCGTATCGACCGTTGAGCAAGAGGAATGCCGCGAACTCCTGAGACTCAGCGAGACCATCCAGCCGGGCGAGTACATGAGGATTTCCATCGATCTGGTAAGAAAGACGGGCAGTCAGGCAGGCGACACATCCATCATGTGCAGCATCTTGTTTTCTTTTTGTCCCTTCAGGATGAGCTCCGGACGATGTACTCAGACTCATCTGTGGTTATCGCTGCCAATTCGCTTAGTGGCGATGGGGACATTTTTTCTTTTGTGGACGGGTAAAGAGATTGACAGCTGGCATACACACGTTGCCATTCAACACGTGCGTCCTCCCTGCAGGGAGAAGTATCGGGAGTCAGTCGAGCCATCCTGTCCACTTGAAGAGGGCTCTGCTGACAGCTTCGAGGATGTTGTTTCAACCATTCGGAATGCGCCACCCGGGCCAGCTTTCTCACGTCTGAACGCATACATCGTGCCGTTCGGCAACGACGCCGCCGAAGTGGTACGCCTTCACAGAGAGATGGGAGCACGAAGGACCGACTGGCCATTGATTGTTTCCGGCAGGATGTGGTGGTGTATCTCAGGGACTTCGTGTATGAAGATGGGTATGCGACACTCGCGTGTGAGGAACCGGTGAAATTCGGGACGTGTCAAAATGTATGCTACCCTGGAAGTGGATGGTACGACTGCTGCCCGCCAGGTGATAATTGCGATGCTGGCGCTCGACCCGGCCCAGAGAGAGGTGAGTCTTACGGAAGGAACAGAATGCAACACAAACAAAAAGCAATGTGATTGGGGGAGCCTTTGGCGTCATATATGCTTTACGTTCATCTTCAGGTGGCTTTGAGGAACCAGACGATGACGATGATGACGATGACGACGATGACGACGACGATGACGACGACGACAGGCGTGGCCGTCGGTTGGCAACCCCAATGGCCTATGGCCAAGACGGGAAGCTTTGACGCTGTATGGGTGTTTGCTGTGGTCATTCCTAGCAAGGGGACGGTATGTATATGCACAGCATAGGACTTTCTGCGTGTGCTTAGGCGTGGTAGTGTAGGACCACGTGCATGATGAGATGAGTGCCTGGGAATGGCTAATGGTACACAGATATACATAGGGCAGTCCATGCAATAGCTCATCGGCGTGCTCTCCTGCTGTGTTTCTCGAGGTTCCCAAATCGGTGGTTTTTTATTTTCTTTCCTTTATCAATCAGGGAGGGCACTGCTTGCCGACATCTGCCCTGCTTGCCGTCGAGCTGAGCTTGTTTTGTGATATCCCATACATCCGTGCCGACAGTTGAACTATTCTTCCTCGGTTTCTTCGGCAATGCAAGCGAAAGTCGCGCACCCACGTATTTGGTGCACAGGATACCGTCGGCCGTGCAGCTGTTTTTTCTGCACTGATTTTGTGTCTGTCTGCGCTGCTCTCTGCGAGCCGCACGGTGTCGTGTTCCTGTGTGTGGTCCTGACTTGAGACGATTTGGATGGTCACACATGGACAGTCCAGGACAGAGGCACTGAACAAAGAGTCTGCCCAAGGAAGGGAAAATAGGCCATTAACGAAGCTACAGAACAAGCCACCAGTCGCCATGCAGCACACGAAAGCAAGACGGCTGCACAAACGTGCGATCACATCCAATCAATGCACTTCCCTCCCTCTCCATGAATGCCTCACCCGTCTTCGTCAGGCACTCCATCAGCCCCTGCTGGCAGCAGCAGCTGGTGGCGGCAGCAGGTCGATCTCCATCGACGGCCCTCTGGCGGGAGGAGCCCACGATGCCGGCGGCGAACGGCTGGCCGCGTGAAGAGTAGGAGACACCACTGGCCGCATCGCTGGCTGGTGTGTGGTGGTTGACGTGATGGTCGGCCGTCTTCTCTCGTCGAGCGGTGTGAGGCCTGCGAGTAGGGAAAGGGGTGGCGAGTCGCTCATCGGGGCGGAGGGAGGGGGAGACATTTCTCCCTCATGCATCATCCATCCAGGCGGCAGGGCCGACACCCCCAGTGCTGGCTCCGACGCCCGACGACCAGCACCACTCCCGACACCGCCATCTCTGAGGATTTTGTTGCCCTCCACCAGTGCAGACAGGGACGGCCGTTTCTCACGTTTGGGATAGGATGGCTGCTGCTCTTGGTGCTGTCTATCGGCTGGTGGTCTGTGTGGTTGGTGGAATGTTGGGGCGGGTGGGATTGGTCCCAGGGTGGCAGTCTCCGATGGGGCGGTGCTCGATGATCGACCTCGCCCCAGCACCACACGGACATCCCCTTCTCCCTTCGACTCTTCAGCGTCATCAGGTGTGGAGACCTCCTGTCGCCCAAGAGGGGATGCTCGCGGCCGCGAGAAGGTCTTGGCGATGGCCTGCTTCAGCAAAAGGCGGACAGATCGAGTCTTGTCAGCGTGTCCGGGGGCTGAGGGGCAGAGGGGCACGCCAAAGCCGATGTCGTCGCCCTCCTCGCGGAGGAAAGGCTGCTCGCCGAAATTGACGCTGAAGGACACCGCACCTGGTCAAGAAAGATTTGATAGATATGTGCACGGGGCCATGGACAAGGGTGTGGGCTGCTCACGTGGGTGAGTTGTTGCCACAGTGACGAACATGGCGGGGGTGTCGCTCTCGAGATGTTCCGGCGGCCGGTCAGGGTCCAACGTGAAGGCATCCAGCGGGGTGCGCCTGTGTGACATGACGACACGCAACACACACACAACAACATATCCAGGATGGCACCGCAGCGTTTGTGTGGCCCCCCCGACGCACAGAGTGAATTGGGGCGCCTTGACGGTGATGACGGTCGGTGCCCTGTGTGGCTGCACCACCCGATACAGCAGCCGCCTCGTCCTCTCGCTCACGCCTCTCTGTCTCCGCCGCCTGGTTCTGGTTGTGGTCCTCTGGCCGCCACTCCCGTCGATGCTGCTGCTGCGGAACAGAAAGAACGTCACCCTCCCTGATCGATGAGCACACAAGACAGGCCATTCATGCCACCCTCAAAGGGACAGAGCAGCGTACCCTGCGCTCGATCGATCTCGCAGCCTATCGTCGCGCCGACATCGAAGAATGGCGCCGGTGTGCATGCGTCGACACTGCCGTTGTAGATGCCGCCCTCGCCGCCCTTGGGCCGCGACCAACGGGACCCACGGTGGCCCTCGTCCTCTAGGTAGGCCACTGAACACACAGAGAAGGGGCACAACACGATGATGGATGTCTCCCTTTCATTGTGTTTCTTCCTGGCTGTTTGTCTGCCGCACAGTTGTGTAATGCGATGGACGGTGCGAAGAGGCCCGGCAGATAGTCTGGCGGGTAGGGGCTCGGACACACACCTGGCACACCAAGCCAAAACGACCCTGTGCCGAGTCCCTCCCTCATCTGCTGCCTGTCTCACTCACTCACCGACGGCAAAGATCGGCGGCCCATGTGGCTTCTTGTACGCGCTGAGCGACCCCTCCTCGTCTTGATTGGCATTGTCATCGTCAGGTGTGATGTGTGGGAGGAGCGTTGTCTCGAAGTAGGCGGCCGACTGTGGTGGGAGGGGCAGAGTGGACACCTCCTGGTGCACTGACACGGGCAGCAGGTAGCTCGGAGGCTCATAGAGGTCGGGCGGAGGGGATGACCGAGGCTGCATGGCATCCACACGACAGCATGAAGCCACACGACAGCATGAAGAGGATTGATGGGACAACGCTCGTGCATACCTGTGGCTTCACGTCCCACATCCGCGGCCCGTCCGCATGGATTTGTCTCAGCAGGGGGGCGCCAAACACGTCCGCCTCCCTGACCACTCGCCGCGGCACCCACCCCTCCCTCACGGCATGGTCGCATCTCTCCCTTAAGAAGACGGCCAAGACGTTACTCTGTTGTGCCTTGTTCCTCAGCTGCGGTGCGATGCATGTGCGGTACAGGGCGCGGACACCGATGTACAGCGATAACGTGCCGATGATGCCCACAATCACGAGAAGGGCTGCAAACACAGACATGCAGAGAGACGCACACACAGAGAGAGGGAAAGAATGAAGCGAATGTATGGTATCAAAGGGGAGGGATGGTGATGGGGGAGCATACCGAAGACGACGGCGTCCCCTCCTTCCGCAATGACAGACATGGTTCCATTAACGGCCGCGATCGTCGAGACTCGGATCTTTACGTTGTGTCAGACGCGCGTCTGCGCCTGCTGCTTTCCCGTCCCCGCTCCCCTGTGCAGCAAGAGGGATGGGTCAGCGAGGCAAGAGCCATCCCGGCGGTCTCAAACAGGTGCGCACTTCGACGAGAAAAGATCCGTACAGAGGGGCCGACCAACGGTCTGTCTGTGTCTGTGTGTTTTGGTTTGCTGGCTGCAGGAGGTGTATCGGTTATGGCGTTCTGGCAAGCCTCAGAAGGAGATAGCAGCCATGTTCGACCTCAGCCAGAGCAGCATCGCCAGATACATCTCGCAAGTCGAAACCATGATAGCCACCAACAGAGACCCGAGTCAGTCAGCACACCGCCACACAGCCACACAGCCACACACAGCCCATCTGCTGTTGTCTGTTCGTCGCTGGCTGGTTCAACTAGGCTTTCTGGAGCCGCGCAAGCGGGCCAAGACCTTTTGGCCTGGTCGCGGCAAGAGTTTGGACGAGCCGGCGCTCGACATCATCAAGAACCTGCTGCAGACCAAGCCAAAGATCACCCTCGAGGCCGTAGTGGAGCTGCTGCACAACCAATACGGATATGCCTGCTCCAATGAAAGCTCCATCAGCAGATTCTGCAGGTGAGTCGAGTCAGGGGGGTGGCCCGGGGGACTGACTAATGGTAGCGGCTGCGTGACCTCTGTGTTTATCTCTGTGAGTGTGTGTCAGCCGCCGTGGGTTCTCCATCAAGGAGTTCAAGCAGAGGCACGACAAGGGCGACGAGATGGCCTGCGCAGGACACGGACAACACATGCTGCCACTGCTAAGGCCAGAGACCATCACCACCACCTTCACCACCTCCACCCGTCATGGCCTCTCGTCTGCCCGGCTGCCCCCTCCCTCACTCCCGCCCCCGCCCCCGCCCCGACCAGCAACATCATCTCTACCGCCCTCCCGAGCCACCACCAGCCCTCTCGCTCTGCTGCAGGCGATGCACGAGATCGTCACCAAGGTCATCGGGCAGCCGCCCGCTGCTCATCCATGCAACGAAGAAGACGGCGTGTTGCACCGCCCCTCCCTTGCTTGTGCTCCTATGGCGCTTTCGGCCACAACGAGGCGGGGACCCTCAGAAAGCATCGTCATGGTCAGTCAGGAGTGAGCCGGACACAAACGCACCACAGACTTCATCTCATCGTCTGCCTGTGTGGTGGTGTTGGTGTGATTGATCAGGGTGAATTGTCTCAGCTGGTGTGCAGCGAGCTGGCCAGCATGAAGACCTCCAGCAGCAAGAAACGCAAGTCAGACTCCGTCGAAGCCCTCCCCCGGCCCCTGGCCTTCATGCGCCGGCAGCACACCTGTGCCGCAGGCACCGACGCGTCAGGAAGCCAGAGCAACAGCAGCACGCCCACAGCGAGTGCCGACATGCCGATGCGCGTCAAAAGCGACAATGGGGTCGACGGTGCTGGTGTTTGTGAGAGGGTGGCGTCACGGTGGTCCGATGATGAGGAGCGTGAGGAGAAGGCCAGTAGGCTGCAAGACGTGCAGGTGGCGATGCGTCGGGGGCCTGCGCGGGAGTGGGAGCGGGAGCGGCATCAGCAGGACCAGGAGCATCAGCAGGTGTACCAGTTCCCCCTGCCCACCCCGCCCTCCACTCCCCTCCTGTCCCCTCCTAACTCGCCCACACCGGCCACCGACGAGCGGCCACCCAGCATCAGCAGCCAGCCAAGAGACGAGATGCCATGCAGAGGTGTCGCCATGGACGCCTTGGAGCCTGAGAAGGCATGTGGGGAGACCGACCAGGTGAGACAGACAAAGAGACGGTTGTCCGTCCGGGGAATCATCCGTGTCAGTGGAGTGGTGCGTCTTGTGTGTTGGTCTTTTCAGGATGAGTATGAGTGGCTGCGAGTCCCACGGCCTCCGCCGCCCCCCTCATCCCATTGCCACTCCCCCCTCTCGTCACTCAGCTCTTCTGCGTCACTCGGCACATACTCGGCTGCCGCCATGAACGCACCACACACGTCATGGCACCAACCCCACAACCACCACCCCTTCTCACCCTCACCAGGCGGCTTGCTGGACCCCCACTCGCCATCCGCCATCCGCCAGCCCCCCGCCCCTCCTGGATGTGTTAGACGATATGCACATGCTGGACAGGGAGGTCTGTTGGGGAGGGGGGGTGGGCGTGGGTGTGAGTGTGGGTGTGGGTGAGGAGGCACTGGTGGGCCCTTCGTTAGAGATGTTCGACTCGCCGTTGTCGCAGCAGAGGGTGGGGATGGGCGAGGTGGGGTTTCCCCTGCCGTCACACCCTTATGAGTGTATGCAGTGAGTTCCTATAGAGTGAGATGACGTGAGATGGGCCATGGAAAGAAGGCCTGCCTGTGCGAACGAGCAATGTGATAGTGCCAAAAGAGAGTCTGACGTGACGTTGTGTATTGTTTTGTTTTGCTGTTACATGCACGGGTCTGTGTGTGCGTGAGAGAACGAGTGGACGGATGGATGGATGGATGGGTGCACGAGTGCATGTTTGAAGCGCCTGTCCGTGTGTCTTTCTGCCTGCCTAGAGGCTAGTAGGGGGAAGAGAGAAGACACACAGAAAGGCATTAATGCTATCTATACATGAGTGTGTACATACGCTGCTCTGTGTGTAATGAAACGATATATGCTGTGTATGCGTCTCACGTCGCCTCCATTCACGGAATGGTCACCGCCCCACACACTCTCTTGCTTCTGTGGCACACACACACACACACACACACACAGACGGGCTAAGGGATGGGGGGGACAGATTTTGTACCCTGTCTGTCTGTCGGTCGGTCGGTGTGCATGTGCGTGCGCTCTCTGGGAGGTGAGGTGAGATGTCGTGGTGTGATGCGATGTGGCCGGTCTGTCCGTGGTGAGGTCTGCGTGTCGGGGTGGTTGGTTTCTCGTAGGCCGTTCATCGATATGGGATGGGCGCATGGTTGGTGTGGTGATTCGTACATGGTCGAGGACGTTGATTTGCCTATTCTGTCTCGGTATATTGCGTTCGTTGTGGGGTTATTTTTTCCTGTTTGCGCGTCGAGGGGGGGGGGGGGGGGGGGGGGGGGGGGGGGGGGGGGGGGGGGGGAGAAAAGGGGCGTTTCTCCCACCCTCGGGTGAGAATGGGGCGTTTCTCCCCCCCTCTCCCCTCTGTACGGATGCAGGCACACAGCACGCTTCTCGTGCTGGGTGCCTTTTGTCGTCAGGGAGGGTGAGTAGGGTACGGTAGGTACAGTCGTGTCGAAAGAGGCAAGGGCGTCTAGGAATGACTGACTGTGTGTTGGTCGCTGCATACGTGTGTCGGTCGGCGCAGATGCAGCTGATCTCTTTCTCGGGCGTTCGCTCTCGGTGGATTGTCGGTCTGTCTTTACCTGTCGGTGCTTAGCTCTTGCCGCGTCTCTCGTACATCATGCTTCTTACCCCACTCTCCATCACATCTCATTCCATCACACGACTCACACAGCCGCCGTGGATTCTTCCTGCCGGCTGTGTCAAATGACACACTAACCACCACTTCCACACGCACACACACACACACACACATACATGACGTGCCGTCAGGAGGGCCGCTGCAGACGACAGAATGGCCCGATCGACTGGCCGTCATGCATCACACCACACACACATACACACATACGCACCTGCACACACACACACCTTTGCACAGGTCTTGTCTTGTATGGGTTTTGTCGACTCGCTTCCTTGTCTCCTTCCTTCATTACTTCCTTGTTTGCTTACCACTGTCTGTGTACTTTTAATACCACCAAAAGGGAAGTTTACAGGTTTGTCTCGTCTCGTCTGTCGTCTCGAGATATCGATGGGTGGGTGCGCTCATCGCAACACGACTCACTCCACTAGAGTGCACTCTTCAAACTCGTGCTTCCTCTGCTGCTTGTTGGTTCAATATGGCGTTTTTTGACCCTCGACGATGGGATGGATGGATGGATGGCGCATGCACATGCACATGCATGATGTGATGGCTGCTTTCATACTTGGCTATTTGTGTGTGCACATGTACATGTGTGTATACGTGTACGTGTATACCCTTACATAAGTGTTTGTACACCCAAATTTGTATGTACGTGTCCGCGTGTTCTAATGAATGAATGAATGAGAGGGCAGAGGAAGAAGAAGAATTGAACGAGTGCTGATATATCTATCACGTTTTTGGCTTTGGGGTTGGTTGGGGTTGTTGCGTACCTGTGCGTGCGTGGGGTAGTGAGTGAGCGAGCGAGCGAGTGACATCTCCCTGTCTGCTTATGTGATCATATGATACATATGTGAATGTGTATGCGTGTGTATAGTACGTGACGAGCTCAGACGAGGGAAGAGAGCCACAGCTCATGTATGGAAGTGTGTAAAGCTCTCAGGAATGAACGAATGAATGAATGAATGAATGGTGTTTTTACGTGGGAACGAATCGAATGTGTGCAGCGCGTTTGTGCCGGCAGCGCGCAATGCATACCTCCATTTTCAACCAACTCTTTCTCTGACCCTCTCGTTCCAACGTTTCTCCGTCTCTGTCTGTCTGTCTGTCTTGCCCATGTCATGTGGTGTGGTGGGGGAGAGAGGGGGAGGGAAGAGGGAGACCGATACCGTGCGGTTGGTGTATTTAACAGCTCTATACAGCCGTGCACTTGCCTACATACACTATGTACGTATATATGAATGTGTGTATGAATGTGTGTATGAATGTGTGTGTGTGTGGTGTGTGAACGACGCGAATTTCCAAGTGCACATACACAGCTGATTGCACTCTCGCTCACTCCGCTAACCATGTCTTCATTCATCTGCAAGTGTGTCTGTCTCACTCACTGACTCACTCACCCACTCACTTGGACCGGTCGAGAGGAGGGCACTGACGTCTCATCCTCTCAACCCACTCACTCATCCACTTCTTGCCTTCTTCCTTTCTTGGCTGTCTGTCTGTCTGCTTGGGTACTGATACTCTGCATGGCCATGGACGGACGCTGCAGCAGCAAACAGAGGCGCGGGTTCGTTTCAATTCAATCAAGCACGAAACACATACACACATACCCTTATGAATTGCCATCATCAGCAGTCCCTCGTCTGCAGTCTCGTTCGCGTCACCACACGAACACACATCCTACCAACCCAGACCCACCCACAGAGAGGGGAAGAAAGACTGACTGGCGGAGGTGTGTGAGTGCGCTGCCTGCCTGCCTGTGTGGGCAGGTTGGCTCTCGCACCCCCACGCCCGCCAACAGAGGCTGGCACGAAAAACCCCAAAAACGACTATGCACGTAGATCGGTACGTATAAACACTGACAAGTGCGATCGGATGCTTGCTACACACATATGCAACCGCCTGGATGCTCCCCGTGCACCGCACCCGTCCTTCTACTCATTTCTCTGCGTGCATCGGTCGGTCGGTCGGTCAGGTCAGAGTTCCGTCTTGCCGCTGCCGGGTGCCTTCTGTGTGGTGGCCGCAACGGGCCCGCCCTTCTTCCTGTTCCAGTTGTCGAGCGGGTCGAGGCACCGCACCGACAGGTCGTTGTGCGACTCCATCTCGGGGTACACCTGCAGCACCTCAAGACGGCCGTCGGAAGGGTCGAAACGAGCCACTGAACGACCTGTACACCCACACAGATACACACGAAGAGGTGATGGGCATGGTGTGTGGACGGGGTGGGGTGGGGTGGCTGACCCTGTGTCATGCCGTAGCAGTCCATGGCTGTGTGTATGGCGAGTGCCCATGTGTAGGCCACCGTCGAGGGCGTCAGCACCGTCCGCTCCGTGTGGATGATGCCGTAGCTCTTCACGGCACCATCACGCATCAACTTCTGCACCACACAGGCATTGAAGCCGTCCACCACACATGACGTGTGCACACAGATGGGCGTGGCGTGCTGCGGCTGGCTGACCTGCATGTGTGCGATGGGGTGCTTGCAGTCGTCTGCGACGCACATGACCGACGTCTCCTTCAGCACTGTCTGGTTGAGTGCCCGCTCCCTACACACACATAAACACACCAACCCAACAGACGCACTGTGTGTGTTCAGCGCCCATCATCCCATCCTCTCCCTCTCTCACCATGTTTCGTTATCGACGGCTGCGAATCGGTTCCACGCATGCGCGAATTCCTTCAGCCACAGCAGTGGCGGCTCCTCCTGACCCACGGAGGGATAGATCGGCGCCTGCTTGCTCGCCTCCGTCAGACACAAGAGCAAAGCGACGGCCGCCGAACACAAAAGCCAAGATCTGCAAGAAGACGACATTGCGCACGTCACACTGCTCGTAAAAAAAGGGGTCTTCTCCGCTTCACACAGTTTGCTTGTGCGAGCTTAAGTGGATCGCGAGAAGCCGACGACAGGCAGGGAAACGGAGAGAAAGCGGTGCAGAGAAGAGCTTGACGGCCGCTGCTGAGAGATCTTTTGGCACAGCGTCCAAACGCTGGTTGCGATGGCTGATTTTGGCGCTGCTGAGCTGGAGAGGGCGGCTGGGGCGGACTGGAAGAGGGCGACGCACCATCCATTCATCGAAGGCATCGGGGGCGGCACTCTGCCGCAGGAAAAGTTTAAGATCTACCTGATGCAGGTAGCACACCATCTGCGCCATTGTGCGTATCATCCGTTGTGCGCTGTGTGCGCTGCAGGACTATATCTTCCTGGAGAGCTTTGCAAGGCTCATTGCGCGAATCATTGCTGCGGCGCCGGCCATGCCGCAGATCTCCAAGCTCTCCTCCTTCCTCGCAGTCATCACATCCGAAGAGAGTATGCCATGCCAGAGCGACGGACCCTCACGCACACCCACCTGTGGTGTATGCTGGCCTGCCACGTGTGTTCTGTTGTGTCGTGCCGTGCAGACGACTACTTCCTGCGGTCATTCGCTGCCCTTGGCTCGAGCGAGTCGGAGGCCGGCAAGGCCACACCCAGCCCCACCATGCAGAAGATGCTCGACGCCTTCGCGCGGGCCGAGGGCGAGGGCTACCACTCCATGATTGCGGCCCTCTTCTGCGCCGAGTGGGTGTACCACTCGTGGGGCGTCCGGCTGGCAGCAACAGAGAAGCCCCCCGCCTCACTGCCCTTCTACTTCCACGAGTGGATCGGCCTCCACTCCAACGATGGGTTCCGCGCGTTTGTTTCGTGGCTGTACGGCGAAGTGGACCGCACCGCTAAGGAGTGCAGCGGCACAGCGGCGGAGGCGCAGATGCGGCAGGTGTTTGTTGAGTTGGTGAAGCTGGAGGGCGACTTCTGGGACGAGTGCTTTGGGCAGTGATTGGTCTGTATGTGGGTGGGTGCATTCGTGGGTGGAATGGCATGGCATGGACTGAGTGATGCATTGCATTCAAGGGCACTTTCTCACCAGTCGAGCTCACGCATCCGCCATCCATTCATCGACACACAATCACACTCCGACGTAAGTTTTTCTCTTGTCAATTCGGTCCCCTTCTCAAAAACAATGGTCCACACTCCCCCCCCCCCCCC